AACTTGGCGAGGGCACGTACGGCGTTGTGTTCAAGGCTGAGGATCTTACCACGGGGCAAATCGTTGCGTTCAAGCGCATGATGGTGGGCGGGGAGGACGAGGGCGTTCCTGCCACTGCAATACGTGAAGTATGCCTTTTGAAGGAACTCAAACACAGCAACATTGTTTCGCTCCACGATGTGCTTTTCGAGCCGCCCAAGATGACACTCATCTTTGAATACTGCGAATATGACCTCAAGAAGTACATGGAGAGAAATGGCAACAAGACGAAGGCTGCTTTGCGATCGGAGGCGCAGCAGGTAATGAGGCAGGTGCTTTTGGCGCTGCGCTACATGCATCATCGCCATGTTGTGCATCGCGATTTGAAACCTGAGAATATATTCATCAATGTTAACCGCGGTGCAAAGGGAACGGGCAATGGTGCGGTAGGGGCTGCTGTAGCGCATGGGCCTGAGAATGAGGGCACTCGTTCTCAAGGGGCAATAGGTAACGGCGGTGAGAAGAGAGGGTTGGGTGATGGAGGCGTCAATGGCACGGACAGTAGCAACTCCGATGGTAATGATGCCGTGCAGTTAGTTGCGAAGCTGGGAGACTACGGGCTGGCTCGGGTGGAGAACATCCCAGTGAAAAAGTATTCCCATGATGTTGTCTCGCTCTGGTACCGTAGTCCCGATGTGATGATGGGGAGTGCCCTCTACGGCTTTGCTGTAGACATGTGGTCGGTCGGCTGTATCTTTGCCGAGATAGTCACGAGAAAACCGCTGCTGAAGGGTCGTACAGATGTCGAGCAGCTCCTTAAGATATTTCAGCTTCTGGGCACTCCCACGCCAGAGACATGGCCATCCATGCTGAGTTACCCAAAGTGCAAGAAGCTGATCGACGCGGCAACAAAAATTGTGCGTGAGCAAATCGGATCGCTCTCGCAGGATGCCAAGCGAAAAGTACAAACTCAACAGCAACAAAAACAACAACAACAACAACAACAACAACAACAACAGCAGCACTCAAATCAGGCCCAGGAGTTGCCGCGACACAAGGAGCATCCATCTGACATCGCGACACGTGGCGATGAGGTTGGCCTGGCGGGGCACCCCGTGCGGCCTTTGAATGATGGCAGCACCACAAACGGCAATGGAGCGTCGGAGGCCCATAGAAATGGCTACAACTTGCCGTCTGAGTTGTTATTTCATTCCACGTTTGACGACTACGTGGAGACGTCTCGATTCCGAGAAATCGTCGGTGAGGAAGGGGTGGACCTGCTGCGGAGGCTGCTGTGTTATGAGCCATCGTACCGTCTGACGGCTCAAGAGGCGTTGTCACATCCATTCCTGAGGAAAGTAAAGCCGTCAGTGTAACGTAAAGAGGACACGAGTTCCGAGGCGTCTCGGCAAACGCTGGAGGAACGTGGAATGCGGGGGGGCTTGTTTGCTCGCTTTTTTACCTCTTTTTGACATATGAATAATCATGACACACACTGCGGGGAGCGAGGTCAAGAAAAACAAACAGACAAACAACAATTGGGGGGTGTATACATGAAGTGGGTTCTGACGTACGGCGGTTATTTTGGCCACTCTCATGGGTTTGTATATCGCTGTGTACACCGCACTGTAGGGTCTTCCTTTTCCTTTTTCTTTTTTTCTTTCTTTATTTTTATTTCTCTTCTCTCACTGTTTTTTTTTTTTTATTATCATTGCTGACGTTCTCTTTGTGTTTACGTGTGTCCCTTTTTTAAAAATTCATCTTCACCTCCGCAATAAAGGAAAGAAAAAAAAGAAAAAAAAAAAAAAACAAGAAAAGAAAGAAAGAAAGAAAGAAAAGGGAAAAGGATTGGCCTGGCCTTATTTGAAGGGTGGAAAAAAGGAACATGAAGGAAAAAGGGGCGAAACAAAATAGTTTGGGTGATGGATGAGGTTGCGTGTTGTTATAAATACTATCAAAAAACTGATTAAAATTTTCTCTCTCTTTTTATTTATCTATTTATCTATATAAATATATGAATCTACATATATATATATATACATATATACATATATATATATATATTACATGTACGTTTTTTTTTTTTTTTTTTTTTGTTTGATGTTTCTCTGGGTTTGGTGGGACGGGGGTGTCATTTGGGGCATTACGGCTTCCGATAGCACTTCCCTTCTCACCAAATCGAGCATCGCCGTACAAATTCCCTTTCTTTCTCTCTTTCTCTCTTTCTCCCTCTTTCTCCCTCTTTCTCCCTCTCTCTCTGTATATGTATTATATATATATATACATATATGTAATTTATATTGTGCTTATTTGTATTTTGTATTGGTGTGTATTTTTCTCAGTTATCATGCGGTAGAAACATCTTTTTTTTTTTTTTTTTCTTTTCTCTTTCTTTTGGTTTTACTGTCGATTATGGATACATGTACAAATGTCTAACCGTGACAATTTGAATACCTTCCCCTCTCTCTTTCTCTCTTCTTTTTCTTTTTTTATGTCTTTGTGCGTTCGTTGTTGGTTTGGATTCCCCCCCCACCCCACCCTTTTTTTTTTTTTTTTTCTTCCTTTTCTTTCTTTCTTTGCTTAACCTTTACGGCATGTGTATTGAACCGGTGAGTTTTGCCCTTTTCCATCCCCCGTTTTCTTCCTCCCCACTCCCCAACCAGGGGCTTTTTTAAAATTTTTTTGCGTGTGTAGCTTGGCTGCTAGGAGCACGACGGCCGCCGTGGCGGTGTGCATCCACGTTGAATTCCACTCGATTTTCTCCTCCTCCGCTCTTTTCTTTTCTTTTCTTCTTCCCCACATCACACTCACATGGGCAGGAGCAGCTGTGGTCGTTTTAATAAACGTACGAAACGAAACAAAAACAAAACAACAACAACAACAAAAAAAAAAGAAGGGGACATTTCAGGCTCCTGGCGACGGCTGGACACTCAGACACGCGTTGTAGGGCCAATTGTAAAAAAAAAAAATAAAATAGAAATAATAATAATAATAATAATAAAACGGCGGACAGGACCTGCTTGGGGACGATTGACTCCTGTAGGCGAGAACACACCACGGTGGCGGCGGCGGCGGCAGGAGAAGCAGCCTGTTTTGAAAGACACCTAAGCAACACACCAATAAATTTATCAGCAGAAAGAAGTAACGACAAGGTGTCTGCTTCTCTCTCTCTCTCTGTGTGTGTGTGTGTCGAGTCGAGTCGAGTCGACTTTGGGGAACAAAGATATTTTGTCCCTTCAGGGAACAAGAAAAACGGGAGAGACACGAATATTACAAAACCCAGGGACGTGTGAGCGAGACGCGAGGCCAACGTAGGGAGTGAAAGAAAGAGAGCGACAAAAGGAGAAGGAGAAGGAAAAACAACAAAAACGGAACAGGGGTTTAACAACAACCCGAGGGCACGACGAGCAGCGAAGAAAAAAAAAAATTGTGGGTAGAGAGGGGGAATAAATGCGTGATTTACGGCATCCCAACCGCCGTGATTGGCGTATGTTGAAGCACCGCTTGCGGATGCGATGCGGCGGGCACCAGAAGGCCATCACTGTCTTTGTCCTTCTGCTGATTGAGTTACTGGGCTTTTTCACATATTACGGGTACGTGCAGAACTTACGGTACGGGAAGACTGGGCCCCTCTTCGACGGGGATGGGGAGCAAATCGTATTTCTCGGCGAGACGGAGCCACGGGACGCCGCGGCACTCGGTGGTTTGACCACCTCCGTGCAGAAGTACACCGTGGACGAACTAATGGCGAAGTACGACAGCATGGATTTCATCTACACATTTGTGAATGGCTCGGAGATCAACCACGCCTTTCGCCGCCTCATGTGTATTCGGTGCAGGGACGAAATTAAGGATGCGGAGGCGGCCTTTTATGACCGACGTGAAACCCCGAATAAACCGTGTGTGGGAATGGACATCTTGCCAAGTGCGAAAACGGTCCGTGAGCTCCTGCTCGCGTTTGGCAGTGAGGCCTCCAGGAAACTGTCGGCTCGGGATCGCGAGCGGGATGAATTGCACTACAGCATCCGAAGTGTGGAGCAACACATGCGTTGGCACCGCGGTCGCCTATTAATTGTCTCCCCCGGTCACAATCCCTATTGGGTGGACGAGGCGAAGAACTTCATGGCGAGCGCCCTCACGTCCAACCGGGGAGAAGGCATGCGAGGCCGACATGCCCGCATCACCACCGTACACCAGGATGTGCTGATGCCGTATGCGTTACGTCTCACCGTTGATTCGCATACCATTGAAATGCAGCTGTTTCGTGTGCTCAACATAACGCCCATTCATCTGTTTCTTAACGACGACTATTTTATCAACCGTGACGTGGATATCAGCGACTTACTCAACGAAAATGGCGGCACGTATGTGCGTACGGAGCGTGGCCTATTGCAAAAGGGAATCCGGGCCGAAAGTGGGGGTGCGTGGACTGCCGGGGTGCGACACACGAACCTCTTCAACACGATGGAGCTCGATATTCACGAGGAGGACTATCTGCCCGAGAATCTCATTAAACACTGGGAGAGCGCTGGATACGATATCCGGCACAAAATTCCTGTTGCGTCGGGGGATAATTTTATTTACACCGCGCATACGAGTCAGCCGGAGAAGCTGCCCCCGAGGGCAACGCCGCGACGGCCGCGTTTTTTTGCCACGCATGCCCCGTTCGTGTACTGTACGAGGATGTTTGAGTTTTTGAACACACGGTACGAGCTGGAGATTGCCGCGAACACAATGAATAACCGTGGACGAAGTGCGACGGACTTATTCACCCCTTTTGTGTACAACGCCTTCATTATGGCGCGCCCGTGGCAGTCTTCGCCGCATTTTCTGCCGTATCTTGCCGCATTGCATTTGAGCCGCAAGGAGAAAGACAGTGCCGAGCCCACGCCACCGCCGCCTCCTCTGCATGTTGTTTTGGAAAACGATGACGCGTGTGCTCCAGCCACTTTACTGCGACGTCCGGCTTCAGAGACGATTTATGGGAAGTTTGTTGACAACTTTGAGGATAATAAACGACTCATTCAGAGACTGCAGCAATCCAACCCGCTTTTCTTCAACATTAACGACGGGTTCGGTGGTGAAAACAGTAGCATGCAATTAAAGGAATTTCTTTCGGGTCTCTTTCCAAAGCCAGTGTACGTTGAACGCAGTGCAACAGGGCCCGCAAGTCAAGAGCCGTATAATAAAGCGTTTGAGGGCCTTATGAAACTTCCCTTGGTCATCTTTGCCTCTTACAAGGAGGCCTTCTGTCCACTTCTCCGCAGCCTAAGAGTTGCCATGCCCCAATTTACCGGACCAGTGATATTGGTGCGGAACGACGACAAAGCGAAAGGTAAGGAAAATGACCTCGCGGAAGTAAGACGCCGGCTGAATCATAGGGTAATGAACGCCATGCCTGTTGTAATGTGTACTTTTGGCAAGAATGTGATAGAAGTCACAGTGTTACCTGGATCAGAAATTGCCGAGGATGTGGAAGAAGCACTCCAGGCGGCATTGATTTCTTTCATTCCACCTGTGCGGCTACCAGCGGACTACATTGGCGGCAGCGATGCGCAAGTGACGGCTCTGGTCATTGATGCCCGTACAAGACACCCTCTTGATAGCATCGTAGCTCTCATACATGCCCTCGAAGTACCAGGCCAATCATTAGCGCTCGAGGACTTTGAGATTAAAACTTTCACGGAAACAAAAAGTTCTTTCTTGCTGTTATCACGAGAAGACGCGAAACGGAAGGCAGTCCACTGGGTGCATGGCGCATCTGAAAAAGATCTTTTGCTCACTTTTCCCTTGCCATATGCCTTATATGAAGATCTCGATGCGCCAGTCAAGTGGTCCTTTGAGGAATAATGCCTCATATACCAATCCTTGCATGATACATATATATACATGCATGCATATATATATACATATATATATTCTGCTTTTAGATATACATATCGTTCTGCACACATTTACACTACTATGCTTGAATGCATCATTCAATGCAGCACTGCTGCTGCTGTAAGGTTACACTCGACGAAAAGAAGCCAATGACTGCTGGTTTTTTTTTTTTTTTTTCCTTCCTTTTTTTTTTTTGTTCTTTTTGAAAGCGGACGCGTTTTTTATTTTTATTTTTATTTTTTGAGAGTAGACGACGACAAAAACACACACACACAGAGACAGACATAAAAAAGAAAAAAGCAGGAAAAAAAAAAAAAAAAGAAACAAACTTTCTGCGGCTCCACACTTATGTCACGTAAAATCTGTTTGAGAACTCACACGTACTTTTTATTTTTAAGGTAATTGTCTTGTGCTTGTGTTTTTTTTCTTTTTTTTTCCTTTTTTGCCTTTTCCAATCTTTCTCTGCTCCCTTCCTCTTGGAGCCAACACATGTATGTGCGTTGGTTGTTTCTGCGTACTCACTGAGGCGGTGGTGGTGGGGAGGAATATAAAAAAAAAAAAATAAATAAATAAAAATGGAATGGGGTGAGGCGGGGGAATAAATGTTTTGTTTTGTTAGTGCAGGGAGGGGGACAGTGCAATGAATGAACTCCTGGCATGATGCGGAACTTATGAATGGGGCCGAACACCGCCGCTTTTTTTTTTGTTTTTTTTTGTTTCCCTCGTTATTTTTTGCCATTTATTTTTTTATTTTTGTTTTTCCACCTTTCCACCTTCCATCTTCTTGTACCTTTTTCTCTCCCTTTCTCTGTATGTCTCTGTCTGTGTGATGTTTTTAGGCCGTTTATTTCTTTCTATCTTTTTTATATATTTTTATTTCACTTCAGACGCGGTTGTCGGTACACGCTTGGCGTGTGTGCGTGTGTGTGTGTGTGCTCCACTCCTCTTTGTTTCTCTCCTCTTTTCTCTCCGTCTCGCACATTGGCGTGTGGCCGTCGCGGCATCTGAAGAGGAAGAGGAAATAATTTAAAAGGGGGGGAAAAAAAGAAAGAAAAAAAAAAAAAAAGAGGATGTCGCAGGGAGAACAGACGGCCCCGGCTGCAAGTGGCGGGAAAGTGACATTTCGTGTTATTCTCACCTCGGAGAGAACGCAGCCATTCCGAGTTATTAGCATCGCCGAGGAGGCACCCCTTACGGCTGTGCTGCGCTTTGCCGCGGAGGAGTTTGGCATCGCCTCTGTAGACTCCATGGCGGCCACAACGAAGGACGGCACCGGCATCAACCCCGCACAGACGGCAGGGAGCGTCTTTATGAAATATGGACAAGAAATCCGTCTAATTCCACGTGATCGTGTAGGAGACGCCTGATTTTTTTTTTTTTTTTTTGTATATATATATATATATATATATATACATCCTTGTAATTGAAGGGAAATATTTCTGCATTGATATGTGCTTTTCTTTTCTTTTTTTTGTTTTGGAGGGGCTATTTCTTTTATGTTGTTTGAAATCTCCCGTGCAATGTGACGCCATCGCCATCTCCCCCCGCAATGATGCACATAAAAAGACGGCAGGACTGCAGTGCATACATGTATTTGTGTACGTATGTGTGCGCATGTCCATTTCCATTACCAACTCTGTTTGATCAAAATATGCCTTTTTTTTTTTCTTTTTTTTTTTTTGGCACATTCGATAGTTATACGTGCATCTTCCCTCCCCAAAAATAAACAAAAACAACTACCAATAAATAATCATATTTATATATTTATATATTTTTATATATATATATAGGGAGCTAGCATGGCGCTCTCCTCTCAGTGGGCCCAGTCTGTTGTTGTGCGGTCAGATGACGGAAAGATTTTCCATCCGAAGCAGGTATCTTCAGCCGCCTACACTTACGCGGCTGTGGGTCGTCCCATCATTGTGCGTCCTCGTGATCCACGCGTCTTCACCGCGACCTCGTCAAGTGATTGGCGGGAATCCGGGGGACTAGAAGGAGAAGGAGAAGAAAAGGGCGGAGGTAATGTGCATGCCGCCGCCGGAGGTGGTGGTCGCGCCTCTTTTTTGTCATCGCTTGTCGCTGCAAATGACGTGGCTGGGACGTTTTGGATTCCCGATCCAAAAAGAAACGAGGTGGGCCTGTTGGAGGCCATACATCGCCGTACGGCGGCTAATCGCACGCATGTATTACTTCACAGCCGGCCCCTGCCGGAACTGCAGTTTAATTTCTCCACATGCCAGGGCGATAACATCGATCTCTCCCACGACGTGTTCCGTCTCTCAAAGACATCCATGGCGCTTCTGCAGATGGAACGCAATTTGGCTGACAGGGAGGAGATCATCGTACGATCGGACGCCGATGCCGGTGGGAATGGAAAATTCGGCCGCATGGATAGCGATGGTCGGAGACACACACATGCCCCAACCAGTTCTTCGACCAGCATATCCGGCAAAACCTTCAAGGATCAGCTGCGGCACGGTCTGCGCGCTATTCACGAAGAAGAGTATTATCTTGTGCGATACCGCGACTACAGTGCCTGGGGCGTGCAGTATTACGGCGACATTGCAAAGAGGGATCACTTTTGGGGAAAAAAGTATGTGGAACAGTGCTTTGCGGTGCACGTTGGCAAGGAACCAGGGGAATTGATTCCCATTACAGAGGCACAGTTCTTGTTCGGTGTGGAGTTGCTGCAGCGAAAGCTGCTTGAGCAAGTTGGCATAGGTGTCACTATGGATATCAACTACCTGGCACTGAGCAAGGACCAGTTCCGCTCACTAGGAGTTCTTTTGGGTGATGGAATGCGAGACGTGGGCGTCGAAGGCGAAGAACTCCGCCGTCGCCAAGAGGCGGAGAAGGAAGAAGAGGAAAAACGTCGTAGGGCAAATTTGCATTCGGATGCGTATGAACCGCCGAGTATGTTGGACTGGAGTCCATCCGCGATAAAGAAGCGCCTTGACCACCAGCTGCGGCGGCAATACCAGGCACTTGGCCGCCTCGTTGTGCGTGGTGCTGTGCTCGGTGTGGGCGTGTACGTGGTGTGGTCGTACGTCAAGCGCGCCCTTCCAAGTGATGCTGGCGGTGTAAACAGTCGGGGCCAACGAAGGAACCGTTTGGGCGGGCGGGATGGCTACCGCGGGGACGACGTCACCTTTGCACCGAAGGGCTTCCTGCGTAGTGTTGTATTGGGCCCGAAGGAGGTGTTCGACTATCTTCTTGCACCCACTCCCGGCAACTGAGTGGGGAGAATGACGCGTGCTGCGGCAGGATATGAATGCCCTCTGCGGTTTTTTTGGCTGACGCCATTTCTCCTGCACCTCCTCTTATTGTGGTGGTTGAGCTTCCCCTTGTTTTTTTTTTTTTTTTTTTTTTTTTTCAGTTTCTTCTGTATGTGTGTGTGTGTGTGTGTGTTGGTTCCTTCGTATTTCCACCCCATTTTCCCGATGAACCCCCGTAAATATTATCAGGGGAGGGGGACGGGGGGCGTTGGTGGAAGCTCCATACCCATTGAGTGTGCCGGTGTGCGAGATTTCCGCCTCATCGCTTCGTGAAACGTGTGCCGTCACCACCTCCCGCCCTCCGTCCTTTGTTTTTTTTTATTTCTTTTTTTTATTCATCACGTGCACACTTCCTTGCGGTGGGTGTGTCACCTTCGAAATGTCATGTGTGTGCTGCCGGCGGAGTTGTCAATGTTCCTTTCTGTCTTTCCTTTCACCGGGGGGAAAAAAAATAAGAAGGAAGGGAAGCCGTCCACAGACGAAAATAACGTCTCATGCGATGGAGCCGTGTGTCACGCCCCGCGTGATTCTCACCCCCATTCTACCCTCCTTGCTCGCCGACGCGACCTCCTCGGCAGGGAAGGACGGGGGCGAAGAAGTGGCGAATGCAAACACCGCGATGCCGCCGCTGCATACGGCGCGGCAGCACGACGACAACAACAACAAAAGGAGCGTGAGCGCAAAGGCCCAACGGCGTCAGCCGTGCGTGGATGTGGTGGAGTTGGATGAGCCCTCCGTCTACTGTTCATCGATCGCCATGGATCCCGCGAGCCCGCTCACACCGCGGCCCCTCGCCGTACTGCGGCAGAGCCCAACACACGAGCCGCGGCGCAGGAAAAGTGGCGGGGATCGCGATCGGTTTCAGACGAGAAAAATCACCAGTTGGATGACAACCACCACATCCACCACCGTTTCCCTGCCCTCCGCGACGGTGGCTATTCGAACAGTCCCAAGCCTGCCGCTCGGATTTTAATGCGTGTCCGGCTTGCGTGGTGGCCACGGCACGCAGTCTGCGTGGATTTGTGCCATTGGGAGAGATGCACACTGTATATCATGCAATGTATATATGTATATATATAACATATAACATATATGCAGTTGGATGTGGTGTGGATGACGTGCGGGTGTTGTTTAGAAGGCAGAAAGGAAGACCCAAAAAAAAACTGGGGTGAAAGTTTTTTTTTTTTTTTTTCTCAATTCACCCATCTTTGCAGTGGCCATCACATGCATGCATGCTGTTCATTTCTTCCTTTGTGCATCTTTTCTTTTTTTTCTTTTTCTTCTTCTTCTTCCTCCCTCTCTTTCTCTCTTTGCCTCTTTCTGTATGTACGCATGCATGTATTTTTTTTTATTGGAATGATGGCTTTGGGTGGACGACAAATGACTGGAGGGAAGGAATTGATTATTATTATCATTGTTATTATTACCGTGATGCAAATACAACCATAACAGCCCTCTTGCTTACCTCCTCCCCTTTTTTTTCTTTCTTTCTTTCTTTCTCACAAAAAAGTAAAAAAGAAAAGAGGAAGAGGAGGAGAAGGAAAGAAAAGAAAAAAAAAAAAAAAATGGGAACAACAGTCATGAAGTGAGGATGTGTGGATCTCTCTCTGTACGTATATATTACATGGGGGAAGGTCGTTACTGTAAAGCAAATTTTTTTTTTTTTTTGTGTGTTGTTGTTGCCGAGCAGAAGGGATGTCGACATCGGATGGGATGCGTGCACACGGGAGGGGTGTGGGTGTATTCCACGCACACACAGATATCGCTTGTCCATATGTAAATATTAAGACCGGAGCGATTGACGCCGACATAAAAACAAACAAACAAAAAGAAACAAAAACAAAAAAGAAGGACCGCCTCTCTTTATCTCTCTCTCTCTATGTGTCTGTTTATCTTTTGTAGAGTGAGATGCATGGTGGCGGTTTGAACCCCTCCGGTGCATGTCTCCGCCTCTTCATCCGCGTAGGGTCTTTTTTTTTTTTTTTTTCTTTTTTTTTCCCTCTTCCCTACATGACACGTGCGTTTTATTGCCATCAATCGTTTCGTGTTGTAATATTTTCCCCTGCCAGTCCGCATGCATAAACGCACACTGACCGACTGACCGGCAAAGACGCAGACATTTTCTATGAGTGCGGCGTTATTTATTTATTTTTTTGTTCTCTTTCTTCTTCTTCTTCTTCTTGTGTGTTTGTGTGTGAAGCGATTCCTTTGCCATTGGGGCGCGTGTCATCTGCGGGGCATTTTTTTTTTTTTTTTCCCTTTTTTTCAAGTAGTGGAGTCGATAGAGAAGCAAACAAACAAAAAAAAGAAAAAAAGAAATATTTCAACGGGGAATTAAACGAAAAAGGGGAGGAGAAGGGGGATAAAAAAACAAAACAAAAAAGAAAAAAAGGGGAAAAGAAGGAGCCGGGGCGGGGCGGTGCAACGCACAGTCATACGTGTAATACATAGAAACATCCATACATATTATGCGTGTGTATTACAACCGGTAACAGTTGTGAGAGGAAAGGTACACAATCCACCAAACAAACAAAGGAAAAGAGAAAGGAGAGAAAAAAAAAAAAAAGAAAAAAAAGAAGTGAAGTGGAGGGAAAGGAAGAAAAGATCCATCTAAAGAAATATTTGCGTATATCCACCCTTCCGTTTTGTGTTTGTACATACATTATTTAGGGAACGTGGGTGGAGAGTGGGGAGTGGGAAAAAGACATGGCGAAAAAAAGGGATTCAGAAGTCATGACGTCGATGGGGGAAAAAAAAGACAACGGCGGTGTGAAGGGGCCGGGAATGCCGCTCCCTGATGCGGCTGGGAAGCACCACCCGCCGCGTCGCTTTCCGCGGGTAGACGCCATGGAGTTGGAGGCGCCCGTGGCACTTGTCAACTTCCCTCGTGCTCGCCAGCGAGGCGTTGGTGGCGGTGAGGCGCCTCTGGACGTCATCGAGCGCGGCAATCGCCCAGGCGTGCCGTTTGATCAGTGCAGCCTTTCGACGGTTGGCGGCAACGGCGACGTGTCGTCGCATCGCCGCCGTAAAAAGTATACCACGACAACCGTCACCACGACCACCATCACAAAAATCCTTTTGCCACACATGCAGCAGGCGGTCGTCTTTGAAGGCGCGGAAGGCGATGCAAAACACACCGCGCTGGATCCACAGGTCTTTCTCATGGCTATTGAAGGGAACAAGAAGACGCCGGGGCAAAATCCAAATGAGATGCAATCAACAGAAGGGGCCAAATTATGCAACGGCACCGGCCACATTAGGGAGCAGGGCCCGCCATCATACGGGGATGAGTCGCCGGCATCGAGGCCCAATCACGCCATGCGCATGCACCGTTCATCGCAAAGTCCTTCACTTCAAGGCAATAACTGTATCAGCAGCAGCAGCAACAGCAGCAAAAAAAACAACAATGGCGAGATCAACAAAATCATTCTCCCCAAAATTGAGTCCTTTAGAGCCCATCAATGTGTGCCCGCAAACTTGGCACCGCATGGAAATGCCTCATCTAAGAATTTGCAGAGTGCGAAAGGGTACGCGGCGGTGCCGCAGCAGCCATGGATATGCAGTCAAAATACGGTTGGTAATACGACCGTGACCCATCATCAATCATCCGCACTTCGGAAGCCACAGGCTGGGAGCCGCCATGGGCCCAGTTATGGCGGCACAGCGCGAGAATCAGCGGAACAGTCAATATCCAATAACGATGGATGTTTTTCGTTGCCGCAGCATTTGCCCCGGCCGCGGTCTGGCGCACCCCACGCGCAAATCGACGGGCAACCGCCGGGTCACGGCGTCTCGGCGCCGTGGATATTAAACGAGGTGAGGCAGGAAAATGGGTGGCACACGGCGGGGTAAGAAGCAATTTTTGGGGTTTGCGGGTTGCCTCTCATTCGCCTCGCGATTGTGATGCGTTGTGTTTTTTTTTTCGGGGGTGTTGGGAACGGCGCGAAAAAAATACATCATGTTTCGGCTTCCCTTTTCGTCTTTACGGAGGAGAAAAGCAAGTCGCAGAAGCCTCATCCTGTCTTTTTTGTTTTTTCCGACCACTCGCACTTTCATTTCTTTTTTCCTTAGTGCTTTGGCGGGCTTGCGCGGCTGCTCCGCGGGAAAATAGGAAAGAAAGTAGGAAGCGCGCGGGCGCACACTCACACGGTGAGATGCCTCGCCCCAAAATCGGTTCGCCACGGGCGGCCTTTTTTTTTTTTGCCGCCTTTTCGGACACGCCGGGCAGCCCGCATTTTAGCGACGCGCGGGCCCTCGTGCCTCATGGTGCTGTGCCGTGCCCCAGCAAGACGCAGCTGGTCCGGGCGCTGGTTGTGATGCCGTCAGCCCCGCGCCAACAACGACGACCCCATGAGGGAAACATTGCTGGCTCCTGGCTTCCCCCGACAATACGGAGCAATTGACCCTGGCACCACGCTGAGGCGGCCGGAGGGAAAATTCCGAGGGGAAATAACAACGGGTTTGGCGGGGGTGCCAGGAAATGAAGGTAAATAAGAAGGGAAAAAATTGTATATGCGAGCAACGAGAGTCATGTAAATGCAAAACGAAGGTTCAAAAACAAGGATCATACTTTGGTTGGTGACATACCACGACGGGGTGGATGAAGGGGGCAATAGACGTGTACTGCGTGTGCGCTTGGGGCTGTTAGAGGCCTCTATTTTGTTATCGTATTTGGCTTGGGTCTCTTTGATGTGTCCTTTGTTGCTCATCTGTGGCCGTAAACTGAATTATGTGATTGTGATTGAGCGGGTGTTGTGCGCAAGTGAAATGGGCGGTCTTTTCGCACCGCCAGGGGTCAGCTGCGTGGGCGATCCCCACGCACTCCCCGTTATGATCTCGCACTGCGGCAGCACGTGATGAGGAGCTTTTTATTTATGTAACTCGGGAAATCTGAGCGTGCCCTCGACGAGCCTACGGAGAAATCGTTAGATAGTGACGCTGATGCCGCCCAGCCCAACCGCCTCCACGAGACCGTGCCCGCCATCCCCTTTAATAGCGAGCGGACCCTCAGTGCGTCACCGCGAGCCGCTCGTCTACACCAGGGGGGGAGAGAAGTGAGGTGGGAGAGGAGGACAGCGAGGATGTCTGCCGCCGCCGCACACACACACACACACACACACACAGGGAGTGGGAGCGAGAACCGCCGTGCGGTCCCTCCGTGGCCCCCATCCCTCCATCGCCGCGGAGGGAGGCAGCAGCCGCACACAGCACCGGCATCGCCGAGGGGAGCGGCGCCGCCGCAGCGCCCTAACAGTGCATTTTTGCCTGTGCCTTGCCATCCGCACCCACAGCAACAAAATACAAAAGTGAAGGGCATGCCAGCACACAGCCACAAGAGGAGTTCGACGGCTGGGCCACAGACGGGGCGGTGGGTGGCGTCCCGAACTCACAAACGGAGCACCGCGCGCACCGTCCGCTCCCCTCCGAGTGCGCTCAGCAGGCCGGCGCCCAGTCACCCTCGTGCCATCGCAGAGGGGAGCGCAAACAATCGTCGTCGCGGACCATCGGTGCCTCTAGCAGGAAAGAAAGCAGAAGAAATGGGGACATGCCATAAGCACAGCCGACAGCGGCGGGAAACGGGACAAGAAGACACAAAGTAACAGTCAACACGGCAGGGACAAAAACATATCCGCAGGGAATTACCAAAAAAAAAGAACAAACAGAAAAAAATGAAACGAAAAAAAGGGTGAGACTTCTGCAGGACTCACGGAAAGCAAAAAAGGAAAAAAGAGAAAATTGATTCGGCAGGAATTTCATGTGCCATGCAGCCAAAGACGATCGGGTGCGCACACATATTACCTGCACAAACGAAAAATGTAATAATAATAATAAAGGGATCGCATTATTCCACTACCCCACACAACATTCCTCACATTTCATGCGGCATCCGGCCTTTTCCTCCAATCCTCGTTCGTGCAGTCCGTGGGACGCGCAGCAGTGAGGCCGGCACCGCGTGTGGGTGACAAAGCAAGAAAGAGTAAAAAAAGGAAACACACACACAGTACGAGCCGTCCCCGCAAGGACATGCATGACTAATCCTAATCACCGCACAGCAGCACAGACAAGGGCGGTGACGAGCAGCAGCAGCAGCAGAGGCGTGCGCACCCACACAGTGGTGGCGTCGCCGGATGAGGCGGAGGACGACTGACTGGAAGCCTCGGGTGCCTCCCCCAAACTGCAGGTTTTTAGATCCTCGTGCTTCTCAAATGACATATGGAAGGCAACAAAACTCGTATTATTCGCAGAATTGCACAGTCTGGTAATTTCGGGTTCCTTGTATACATCTCCAGCGAAATTGCATAGCCGTGCGCAGTAACCATTGTCTTCCGGGGCTTCTTCGGGCTTCCTCGCACACTTTCGCCAGTCCTTCTCGCCTTGAAATCGCCAACGTAACTTACCGTCAGTCCCCGGACACAACACTACCACATCAGCCAATGGTTTTGCCGGCGCAGCGGTAGATTGCACGCCCGGAGCAGCAGCCCTGCAGACGGACAAGCAGCAGCAGCACAAGAGCGCGAGGACCAGCAGGTCGCACGCCACGCAGCGCCGCACAGTCACCATCATCATTCGTCGTAGAGTCGCTCGAGTGTGTGAGACAATCCACACAGTGGGGCAAGGACAACAACAACAAGAAGAGAGAAATACATGTGCCGCACTACAGGGACACACACACACACACACACGGTCGTGAAGCAGCACCCAGCACCCCACACGCACACAAAAGGGGAGGGAGGAGAACAGTGTAGCCCCCAGGCTCCGGTGGATGTAACTACAGTTCCGGGAACCGGGAATGGGTGCGCATTCCTCGTGGAGGGCACGCGCCCGCGAAGAGTTGCCGAGCCCGCAGGAGATATGCAAGCAGGAACGACGGTGTGTGGGCGTTGGGTGTTCGGTGTGTCTCACGGGAAAGGAGGAAGCAACACGAAGGACAAATAAAAATCCCACATTTGTCCAAGAGCGGAGCCACATTTCGTTGTCTGCCAGGCAAATGACATCGGATGCCTCGCTTAGCCGCATCCGCCAGCCGCCCTGCAGCCCACGTCCATCGCGGAGAGAACACGCAGCTCCTCAAGCTTCCCTCACCGGCTCTGTCGTGCCAGCGCACGCGCCTGAGTGTCGCGCGAGGGTTCCACGAGCCCAACGGTGAGTCGATGCACCGCAGTTCCCACAACAAACTGAGACACCTCGCTCCCTGCCCTTCGCCGCGGAGCCACCCCGCACACACCACCACATCCGCCGCACCGCCGCGAATCACGGTCCTCCCACAAGACTCTCTAAATGCACAACACGAACGCACCCTCTCCTCCCAGCAACCAAAGAGAACGCACAATCCAAACCCCCTGTGAAGAAAAAGCAAAAACGACAACCCCTTCATGACAACAAACTGAAGTGACGACAACGAGGTGCGGCCGCAGCAGCCCGCACCCTTTCCGCAACGCATGGCTCCTCTCCCTCCCCTTCCCCTTCCCTCGCTTCTTACCCCATGGCCGCCATGAAGAGGTCCTTCGCGGATCGCCTGCCGGAGTTCGCCGGCACCCACGATTGAAGGCAATGGGCGACGTGACGGCGGAGCCGCAGTGCACTCATGTGCCGCGCAGGCGTGTCGCTCGCCGTCATGATCGCTGCAACCTCCCTCGCGGCGCGGCGCCGAAGCCACCCAAAATTTCCACCCTCGCACCCGTAGGAACGCAACTGCCTCGCGAGCCTCATCAGGGCCGGTGCAGGGGGAGGCGCCCGCCACAAGGCTCTATCAGCACCCCCCGCGCCACCGTCCGCCTGCGCCGCCTTCACCGCCTCGTCACACCAGCGATGCAAGGCGTCCTTCTGGAGAAGATGCTCCCGCAGTAGCGCGCCAACGCTGCCGTCCGCCTGCCGCACCGCGCGGGCATCCTCGTCCTTCACACAGCACCGCAGCTCGCTGAACGCGACGTGAACCTCCAGATCTCTAGTCTCAGCGTAGTCCCTCAGTGTGTAGAGGAAGCAGCGCAGTCCCACAATTTCCTCCGCAAAGAAATGCCACTTGCTGCGCCAACGCCCCTCCAATAAAAGACGATTGTACGCGAGTGGGTAGCGCTCCGCAATCGTCTGCTGCAGGCGCGCGGAGGACACGGAGCAGAGCAGCTCCACCGACGACCCGGCGTGACGCATTGCCATGAACTCCTGCATCACCTGCTGCGCCAGCACTTCCTCCGTCACGGCCGGTCCGTCCGCGGGAGGCAGCGTCACGAAGACTCGCACCGGCATTACACTATCGCGACTGGAAATGCGGTTTTGCCACAGAAAGAGCTTCCTCGCCAATTGCAAAAAATGAAAAGGTCTAAATGGGGAGCAGAGAGGGATGAACACACAGGAAGGAGGGAGAGCGATGGCAGGGGAGAAAAGGGACACATCCGCGACGAGACTCGAACGTGCATCCCTCCCGTCCGCAGTCAAAATGCCCCGCCATTGAGCCACACGGAAACAAGGACAGGGGAAATTAGCTTAAGTTCTCTCTTTATTCGTGGCTGCTACGCAAAGCAACAGCAGTCGGGAAAACAAGCGGGGACCAAAAGTGAACAAACAGTTACAACAGGGAAACACACCATTCCTTCTTTTTCACATTATCTGCCAACGGTGCACGTTGCCTGCAAAAATTGGTGCGCAGGACGGAAGGGGGTGCGGCCCCCGTTCGGTGAGCAGAGCATTGAAGGCCGTGTTGCGCACTCGCGCCGCCTCAACTTCACACCAGACTCCAACGTGGGGGCCCAGCAGCACTAGACTCCGGAAACGACTTCACAGCAGCCTCTACCAGAATTGGGGTGGCCTTTATCCGACGTTGACGTACGGAATACGTTCCATGCGGCCAAAATAAAAAAACGGAGACATTCGCCGCCGCGTAGTTGAAGGCAATGCCACCGCAGAGCAACTCCTCCACTATAAGACGGATGGGACCTTGTCGAGTAGACGTGGAACTCGTCAGGCTGGGGTACGTGGGCACACTAACAGCCCGGTAAAAGACACCCCAAAGACAACGTAGTATACACGCGAAAAGAGAAGAGCCCGTGGCAAAGCCACCTTGTGCGATAGGCCTATCCCTCGCAGCCGCTCTCGTGCCACATAAACAAACGAAAGGTTGTACTTACGCTGCTACATTGTTTTGCCGCAGTCAACAATGGCCCGCACGTCTGTCGCCACAAGCGAAGAGGGGGATCGCAACCAAATTGAAAACATGCACCGTGCCGCATCATACGACACGTTCATATCATCGTCGATGTTGAGCACAGCTTCGGTGCGGAGAAGAGAGGCGACAAGCCAGCGATTCGCCACGGAATTGGGTGGTTGCCGCGCCTCGATTTCAACGCAAGCAATTCGTCTGGCACCATTTCCTTCACGCCATTCCACACGAGCAGCACCACATGGACAAGACTCTCATCCTTCGGCCAATCATACAGAGTGGCCTTCAAAACATGCAACAAACAATTTCGTCGCCCCGTCATTGGATATGACACCACCACTACTGTTAACGAGTCCTCATGAATGTTGCCTTGAGCGGCAGCAGGGGCGATCACTTTGCTCACCGTCGGCTGCGACGGCAGAGCAGGCTCAGAATCAGTTTGTCATGTCCACACAATGAACGGAAAAGTAAGAAGCGCCAACACGACAGGAGCAGATAGAACGGGACGCAATACGCCAACAAAGCCAAGATGGGCGCGCCGCCGCCTCATCCTCACACCCTGAGAAGAATAAGAAGGGAAGAGGAAGAAGAGACGCCTTCAAACCCTCTCCAACGCTTCTTCTCTAATGCCGTGTGGAACAAATAACAAAGACAGGAGAGTCAAGACACACATG